AATAAAAATCCAAACACAAAACAATCCCTCAGTGAAAAAGACTAGGTATCACCAATCTTTTTCCCTTACATGTCACTGAAGACTTGAGCCTGTCGTCAAATACTCAAAACATAGAGGGCAAATTTTATCAATGGATGAACAATCCTCTGAAGAGAAGGTTAGGATCATCATTATAGCCATTTGGAAAAATCACCTGACTGTCATGGGTCTGAGGTTTCAGAAGAATCTATTGTGCCTCAGTTCAGACCCAAACAAAACAAAACAAACAAAACCGAACAATAAAATGACCTATCCCTCTAGAAACACAGGCATTTCAGACAGGTTGTAAGGACAAAAGGAATGTTAAGAGGGAACAAATGCAGACCTATAACCACCCTTTCTGCCACTACTCCAACATTCTGTAAAATGAAGACTGTAGATTCAAGTGTGATCCCACTCCATACTCATGAAGATGATCCCAAGTTTTGCCCAAGGACAGGTGACAGAGCCATCATGATGAAGTGTCAGTGTGAGTCATCAGAAATATCAGCTTGAACCCTGTGGGCTTTCAAGAGTTGTAGGCCCTCTTTGTGGAAGTGACATCACTGCCATCAGTACCACTCTACTTTGGTCATTTCCTAACCTAGATTTAGCTGACTTTCTTAGGGTACTTCCCAGTAGAGAAGACAGCCAGCACACTGATAACAGAAAATGATGCTCAGCTTCTAAGATCTGGCCTGCTGAGCCACGTGGGCAGGAGAAAAACTAGATTTCAAACGGAGCAGATATAGATGTCCTTTGTGTTTAGTTCTGTAGTTTTTTTCAGTATGTTACTGTTTCTACTAGTTGAGTTGTTTTCTGTCAAAGATCTTGACAGCTATTTTTGTTCTGAGAAATAAGCCTGAAGAGAAAGTGAAAGCACAGTAAGGTCGAAGCTGTTAACTGCCCTCTCCTATGGTAGAGCTCTCCACCTCCTTCTGTGTATGTTGTATTTGCTGTTTGCCTGATTTATCTGAAGCTGGAAGCTACAGCGCCGTCATCTTGGGTAGCATGTCCTGGTACTAATGGCGAAACATGTTCTCGTTATGTCTAGCCCCTTTCATTTTCTTTTATATCCGACCAGGGATTAGCTTTTACATATTTCATCTTTAGCATTTTTAAAAAAATTATGTTTTCCTCAATTGGTTGGACAGGCCTCAGGGTTCAGTATCAGCTGTTCTTGTATGGCCCACTACTGCTCCCTCCATTGGAAAGAATTCTGGTATCATCTTTATGTCACAGATAGGACATTCTTCTGAATTGTGCTCTGGTATCCTCTGGCTCTCTGTGTCCAAACAATAGTTACACAAGATGATGTTTTCTTCTTGTCATTCTTTAGCCAGACTATCACAGACCCTTGAATACTAACAAAGATAAGTACAGGTTGACAGGTTGAATATCTTATTTTGGAAATGGTTGGGACTGAAAATGTTTCAGGTTTCAGATTTGCTTGTATGCAAATGAAGTATCTTGGAGAGGAGAACAAAGCCTAAACATGAAATTAATTCATATTTCATATACATATTATACATTTAAACTAAAGGTATTTTATATAGTTTTAAAAATAATTTTGTGCATGTAATAATTTGTTGTGAAATTTTATACTTTTCTTTATCCCTTTCTTTTAAGTCTCTCGTTAGACAGGATCTTATATAGCCTAAACAGGCCTCAAACTCACGCCTGTTGTACCTCAGCCTTCCCATTGCTGCTTGTGCCACCAAGATTGGTGAATTGTTTACTGGTGGTATCATGTTGGTCGTCAAAAAGTGTAAGATTTTAGAATGTGCCAGATTTTACGTTTGGGGTGTTCAGCTTGTTACATTTCAAATGTCTTTATTATGTTTATTTATGTATATGAGTGCATGTATAGGTGTGCACCACATGTGTGCCTGATGTCCATGGAGTTACACATGGCTGTGAGCTACCATGTAGGTGCCAGGAACTGAACCCTAGAGCTGTGCAAGAGTAGCAAGTGCTCTTACCAGCTGAACCATCTCTCCAATCCCAGTTTCCTTATTATTATCCAGGTGGGCTTGTTTAATCTCTTCCCAGCATAGGAAATAAAAATTTAAACTTATATCCTACTTTGAGTAACTGTGTTTAAGAACAGTGTGTGAATTTCCTTGAGACTTTAATTACCTGTTGTCATTTCCTGCTTGTCCCAATTTATATAAGAACAAACCCATAAATAAATGTTTAAAGTATATAAATGAAATAAAAAGGAATCTAGACTATCTGATTAGTTTTATTTTAAGTAAATATATTCTTAAATATAAAAGTAATGTAAGTATGATTAAAATTGTGAGAAAAAATAGCAAAAGCAAAAATTGAGGAAAACTAAAACCCAAACCTTTTGTAGTTGTGTCTTGCTATAGTAATCATCATTTGCATGTTGAAATATTTCTTTTTAATGTTGTTACATACAGCTTATATAATTGTAATTCATATGTGTATTTATACGGGAAGAATATATATGTGCAACACACATGAGCACACATACAGAGATCTCAATATGTAACCAAGGCCATAAGTTGCAGTAATCCCGGCTATGTAAGACGTGGGGTCTCACAGCTCAGGAGTTTAAGATCGTGCCCTTTCCAGAAATTCCCCCAGACCACAACTCATTGCAAAAGCAAGAGGTTTATTAACCATTGCGCAATGGGGTCACCCCTGCCGGTCAGCAAAGAGTGGCCCTGGGAGACAAAGGCCTTTAGGTTTTTAAAAGAAAAAATTGCGGAAGATTTGAAGTTGCAGTCTTGGCAATTTAGGATTGGATGAGGAAGCTATAAAGTAAGATAATTGGTTAGTCTTAGGTGCTCAAGCTTGGCCAGTCCTGCCAAGTGTGGATGCAGCTGCAATTTAAGGTGGGGGTGGTTAGCTCATCCTTGAAGATTAGGGGCTGCGGACTTTTGGCTGCAGGTCAAAAGCTACTCAGAAGAAGTCTGGGTTCGTTGCTAAGAAATGCTATTTCAAAGACAGGAGTTTTTCTTTTTGCTTGCTTGCTTGCCTTTTTTTCTATCTGTCCTCATAGATAGGGTCACATTTTTCCATTCTCTGAAAAGGCACTAAGAGGCTTTTGCTTAACCTGAACCTAAAACTCAAAACTATAGGCTTTAAAAGACATACAGGTTACAAAGTTAGTCTAACCCTTTCAGCTACGCCTCTTGTGTGCTGTGATTTCAGGTATGTGCCCCCATACCTAGCTATTTTATACTTTTTAATATAATTTTAATGTTTTAACTGGTAAATTCAGATTAGCAGGAGTTCATTTTTTATTTGGTATTTAGATCAAATATATACTGATCATGTGTAGTATAGAAATAAGGAAATAAAAAGGAATGTGGACTATTTGATTTGTCTTATTGTAAGTATAACTATTTTTAAATATAAAAGTATCTTTGTGTGGTAAAGTAAACTTGTATTAAACTATTTTCAATCTTGGGTACTTGTACATTTCTATAGAGATTTCTAACAAAGAATCAATATTAATCAGTGATTCAGAACCACATAGTTCTAATTAAAACCTTTTCCTCTATTTATTAGTCATGTGGCCTTGGCAGGTTTCTTAGTCTGTGTGCCTTCCTTCTGTTTTGGGTAAAGTGGGAAGCTTGTAGTCACTCTCTTTCTCTCTCTTTATATCTATCTATCTATCTATCTACACACACATATTTGTATATATGGATAATTATCAAGGTAGCTCTTGTGCTTTGAATCTCTTTTCATAGTTTTACTAGATTTCAAATTCATTTATTATAACATGTAGGTATTAATAAACAATAATGTTTGAGAATAAATGCTGCTGGGGACAAAAAGACGTTAAACCTATGAAATGGGTGCTTGGTGGATCATAGTAAGTATCAGAGATACACTGATAACAGTTGCCCTGAATGATAGATGGAGTGGGTGACGAAATGATTTTGGTAACATTTTCTTCCACTCTTTTTTTAATTTTAATTTTTTATTATTAATTACAGTTTATTCACTTTGTATCCCAGCTGTAGCCCCCTTCCTCATTCCCTATTAATCCTACCCTCCCTCCCTCATCTCCTCCCATGACCCTCTCCAAGTCCACTGATAGAGGAGATCCTCCTCCCCTTCCATCTTACCCTAGCCTATAAGGTCTAGTCAGGACTGGCTGTATTGTCTTCGTCTGTGGCCTGGTAAGCTGCTCACCCCCTCAGGGGGAGGTGATCTACGAGCCAGCCACTGAGTTCATGTCAGAAACAGTCCCTGTTCTCCTTACTAGGGAACCCACTTTGATACTGAACTGCCATGGCCTACATCTGAGCAGGGGTTCTAGGTTATCTCCATGAATGGTCCTTGGTTGGAGTATCAGTTTCAGAAAAAACCCTGAGCCCAGATTTCTTAATTCTATTGCTCTCTCTGTGGAGCTCCTGTCCCTTTCAGGTCTTTCTATCTCCCCCCTTCTTTCATAAGATTCCCTGCACTCTGCCAAAGTTTGGCAGTGAGCCTCAGCATCTACTTTGATACACTGCAGAGGCCCTCCTGCACTCTTATACCTTTTGAGTTTATGCAGTAAAGCGAACAATGAAAGAGGAATCATAAGATCATCATTTTCGTTCTGCTTCTGCCTTTTTCTGTATTTCCTTGTTTTTTTTTTTTTTGTTATTTTTTGGTGGTGGTTGTTAACAGTATGTCATTTAGCTACATTAAATGTTTTCTCTATAGGAGCAAAATGCCTTACCTGTCTTAGAGATATCATTGTGATTAAATATGTTTTATTAAAGTGGATTGAAGCTTATAAACATTGTATTTATTAGTTTTATTTAAACAAAATAAAAATTGAAAATGCCATAGAGAGATCCTGATACACACAGAATGAAGGCCAGTATTCTATAAGGGTTAGGGTTGATACTGCTGGTTTTCTTTGTGTGACATTGTTTATGTTGTGACACAGCTTATGAATATATTAATACATTATGTTAATATATTAACTTTGATTTTTCCCCCCTCTGTTTCAGACTCCTGGGAGAGTTGGCTCTCAAGGTTCTGATTTAGATTCATCAGCAACTCCTATAAATACGGTGGATGTCAATAATGAAAGTTCTTCAGAGGTATGAAAATTTAATAGAGAATAAAATTTACTATTATTTAAGGGAAAATTAGCAAATACAGTCATGATTGGAAACTTAATTATGTTCACAGGGAAATTTTTCAAAATTGTGTTTTTATAGGTGACTTTTGAGGTATTTATACAAGTCTTCCACTGTATGATTGTAAGATTGAAAACCTGCCTATTAAGATTGAAAACTAATATTACCAACTTGTCTTGTATGTTGTCACCTCAATTTAATGAATATTTTAGTCTCTTTAAAAAGAACTCACACTTCATGTGTATGTGTGTACTGTTATAAACTGTTAACTCAGCTTTAGGTTATGGCTCACACTTTTGCAGTATTTTCTGTTTTCACTTGTGACCTGTTAACTTTTGCTTTATCTTTGTTAACTTATTAAAAACTAGTGGAAATGTAAAAAAGAATAAAAATTTCAATGACAAAGCCTTTATGTTGTATTACTACTTTTATTTTTAAGAAGCAAGTAATATTTGTTCATTATAGAAAAAAAAAAAAAAACTATGGCCATAGTCAATATGAGTGGTAAAAGCGTTAAATGTTAGGCTAACTTCCAAGTCCAGGAAGAATGCAAGGTGCCTGCTGTCCACAATAATCCTACATACCACAATCGTGCATATACTGCCTTGCTGTCCCCTTTGTTCTTCCCTTTTTCTTTTGAATGGCTCTTAGCTATTGCAGAATGCTTTGTCTACATGCATTGACATGTTAATAGGATTTTTCTCCTTTACTCTGTGGTAATTACATGCACTTTAAATAATACTGCTGTACCTTTGTGTTCTTAGAGTAAATTCATTTGAGAATGATGTGCTATTACCACTATTTTAATATATTGTTGGATTTTACTTGTTGATTTTTTTTTTTTTTTGAGGATGTTTACATATGTTCATGATACTGATTCACTTCTTTTCTTTTTTGAGACAGATCTCATTTTGTTCCCCTTGTTGGCCTGGTATTTGCTATGTAGGCAGTCAGAAAACCAAAACATTGTAAAAATGTGCCAGGGTAGATATTGGTGTTACTAAGAAAAATAAGCAGTAAAGAAGGTATAGTACATGTATGTATATGGCTGTAGTTTTATGTAGTTATCACTGAAGATTTCTCCAGTGGAAAGGGTGGTGGAGGCATATCTTAGAACTGAAGAAGGTGAAGAAATAAGCTAAGGAAATAAGCTCCATTTGGGGCAAGGGATGGAGAATGCACTGGAATTTTTTGAGCTAAGAGCATTTCTGGTGTGGTGGTAACAAGCCAGGAGACTAGTGTAGCTCTAGAATACTGAGTGATCACAGACTGGCTCAGTGAGGTAATCAGGCCTTGTAGATGTTATATTCACTTATTAGTTAAGTCTCTGAGGTATAAAAGCCACTGTAGACTCTTGAGCGGGGAAATGACAAGATTTGATAATGTGCCTGCCATGGAATATTCCATTTAGCTGCTGTTTTGAAAATAAACTTAGTGAGTAAAGGGTGGGTGAATGGGGCCATTGATGTACAGTATGATTGGAGCTGGCTTCAGGGTATGATAGTGGAAGGGCTGAGACTCTGGGTATGTTCTGAATATAGATTGTTCCAGTAGAATGTTTTTGGTTTTGTAAAGTCTAAAATAATTTCTTGGTAAGTTCTTGAGCTTCTTGAGGAAGGGGAGGTTGCCTTTTTTACTTTGTTTTCAGCACGATATCTAATAGCTAGAGCAAAGTAATCATATAGTAAATGATTGGATGACTGGGTGTGAATATTTTCCATCAACAGTAATGACTAGAGTAAAACATACTCTAAACCCTTAGTGGCGAAAAGAAGGCAAACTGACAACAGTCATCTATTAAAGTGCTGTTCTGTAGTTTTAGTACTTGGGATGTAGGTGTCTGGAAGGCAACTCTTTGACTAGCTTTTTTATTTTTTAAAGGTGAATTTGTAGTTCTTGCACGTGTCCCCAGGATAATTTCCTTTTTAAGGGGTATGAACAAAGGAATAATGGAATTTGGAGAGATAGCTCTGTTGGTAAAGTTGTTGCCAGGAGGAACTGAGTTCTATCACCAGAATATTAAATATAATGGTAGTGATATGTGCTTGTAATTCCAGCATTAGAGAGGTAGAGACAGGAAGATCCCCGGCGTGTGCTGGATGGCTAGCATTGTCTGAATCTACATGGCAAGTTGGACTAGTGAGAGACCTTGTCTCAAAGAGGAATGACAAATGAGGTTCTCTTCTGACTTCCACATGCACTCATACATATATGTATGTGTACCCACACATGTACCACACATGCACCCTTACACGTACACTTGTGCTCATAGCACACACACACACACACACACACACACGCGCACACACACACACACACACACACACACACACACACACACACACAGAGGACAGGGGGAGAATATAATGATGATGATACTAGGTAATGTTTACTGAATGCCTTTGTCCTGGGTAATATGTGTGCTTTATATATTGTGGTAGACAGCTTTTCATCTCCTGAACTTAAACAACAGAAGAGGGATGTCATAGTCAGTGTTCTGTTGCTGTAAAGAGACACCATGATCAAGGAAACTTACAAAAGAAAGCATTTAATTGGGGCTTGCTTACAGTTTCAACAGTTTATGCCATTGTCTTCATGGCAGGGAGCAGGATGACATGCAGACAGACATGGTAGCTCAGAGTTCTACATCCAGATCCACAGCAGCAGAAAGAGAAAGAAATTCTGGCCTGGGATGGACGCTTGAAACCTCAAATCTCACCCCTAATAATGTACTTCTTTCAACAAGGCCACACCTACTCTAACAAGGCCACACCTCCCAAGTCCTCTCAAATAGTGACACTCCCAGATGACCAAACATTCTATGAGTCTGTGGGAGGCATTCTTGTTCAAACTACCACAAGGAAGAAGGGTTTATTTTGACTTAGTAGTGTCAGTCCATGATTGCTTAGCTCTTTATTGGGGCTTGTATTGGGTAGGACACTGAGTCAGAGAGGGCATTACTGAGCAAAGTGATTATCTCATGGCATTTAGAAACAGAGACAAAGACAGAGAAACAGGAAGGTGCCAACGATAAAATGTTCCTCTAAGATATGCCCTCAGTCTCCGACTACTACTTAGGGATCTAAGTCTACACTTGTTTTTACACAAAAAACTTCCAAGTTACAAACCTGTGTCTCTACTGTTATATTTATTTATTTAGTCCATCATATTTTCAACTTCTTTATGTTCTTATCCATCCATTCTTATCTGACATAATCTCAAGCCATATCTCAATCTCAATCTCAAGGCCATCAGTATAATGGCCTGCATTTTAAAATATAGATAGGTTTAGTTTTTGTCTTGTCACTGTTCTACTGCTGTGAAAAGACACCATAATCAAGGCAACTCTTAACAAAGGAAAGCATTTAATTGGGCGGGGGGGCTTGCTTACAATTTCAGAGTTTCAGTCCATTATGGTGGGGAACATGGCAGCATGCAGGCAGGCACTGGCACAGTAGCTGAGAGCTACATTCTGATATATGTAGAAAGAGAGAGAGGAGAGAGAGAGAGAGAGAGAGAGAGAGAGAGAGACTGGCTTTTGAAACCTCAAAGCCCACAACCTACAACAAACTGTAGAGAGAAAGAGAAGAGAGGAGAGGAGAGAGAGAGAGAGAGAGAGAGAGAGAGAGAGAGAGACTGGCTTTTGAAACCTCAAAGCCCACAACCTACAACAAACTTCCTTCAACAAGGCCATACCTCTTAGTCATTCTAATCCTCAAATAGTGCCACTCCCTGATGAAACTATGGACAAAGTACCACAAACAAAAAATAATTTAAAATGCATAAACCAAAGAGTATTTGAGCCAAAGCAGCTGTATACCATACTGAACAAATGAATCAAAGAAAATTTATAATATGAAGAAGGGAACTAATTTTTAAAGTTCTACTTCAGATAACTGCTTTCACCTTTTGCAGATACACCTTGAAACTTCCCTGACCTGTAGAAAAAAGAGATTTATAAGATTTATTCTTATATATATTTGCATGCTCATGTTTTGTTTTATTATTAAAATAATCCTAAAAACTAAAAGTTGTTATTTCACAGGGTTTCATCTGCCCATTGTGTATGAAAAGATGTGTAACTGCTATTGACTTGTCGGAACATTACCAGGAGGTGCACACTGAACATGAGACAAGAGGACAGGAGCTTCTTAGTGACTCCAGTGTGACTGTGGGTCCTCTGCCTTTTGTTTTAGCAGCTTGGTTACGGGTTGCTCAAAATAGCTTTCTTCCCCTGTCTCGGTGTTGGTTCCCTTTTAGGCTACAAGGGAATATGGATTGCTTTTACTGTGCATGCCTAAGGGAAGAATCGGTGAGGAAAAAGTCTCTTGGGTAGTCTGCTTGGTCTCTGCTATTGTTTCCTTCTCTCTTTTGTGAACTTGTAAATAAATGCTATATATGGTTACATAAAATTTGCAATGAAATTCGAAATATAAAGTGGTATTTCACTATTTGTAGGATTATATGTTATTTATTCTATATTAATGAATCATTAATGCATTCAGGTTAAAATGATTCTTGCATAGAAAGATTTTGTGTCTGAACAGCATTAGAACCTGAATCTAAAGTTCCATCTTTGTTTTCACTCTCAAGATCCACAGGAGGTGATGAAGTGCACGTCATCACCCATTGTGAAGTGTGAAACATTTCTGTAGCGCAGCAGTTCTCAACATTCCTAATTCAGCTCCTCATGTTGTGACCCCCAACCATAAAATTATTTTCATTGCTATTTTGTAACTGTAATTCTGCTACAGTTAGGAATTGTAATATAAACATCAGTGTTTTCTGATGGTCATAGGTGACACCCCTGTGGAAGGGTCATTTGAGAGGACAGACAGAGATGACAGGATCTTGTAAACTGGGCTTGAACTCACAGTTCTCCTGCATCTGCTTCTTGAGTGCTAAGATAATAGGCATGTGCTACCATTCTTGACCAGGAGATAACATTGTTTTTGTATCAGTGCACAGGGAAAAGAGTAGAAGTTTTTAAACTCTTGTTTTCACGTGTTCAGAGTGCTTATTATTTAACTCATTTTGTTTTTTGAAGGTTTTATTATTTGTAGTCTGTTAGTGGCCTACTGTTCAACTAAGTTCTTTTTTGCCAACTTTATATTTTAGTAATTAAATGTATAATGTACAATATATATACATGCTATATATGTGTATATATATGTGATGAAAGTACCACATTGCCCATATAGAGGTGAAAAGCTCTAATCTATTGTTAGTTGGAGTCAAGGAACTTGACAAATTAGTGTTGGTGTTGGAGGACACAAAGCAGGATATGTAAAGGCACAGAGATTTGAGATAGCATGTTGTTCTCAGAGACACAGTCATGTTACTGTTGTTGAAGGTCGTGGTACTGATTGAGAGAGGCTTGATCATCAGATTATCTGGGTCATTAGGAGAATGGCCATGGAGGAACGTGTGTGTCATGCGGATGATAAAGATAAGTGAAGAATATTGGAGAATCTGTTTAAGAAGATGCTTCTGGCAGCTGGGTTGTTAGAAGAAAGCAGGCTAGGTATAGGAATGCTGTCTGGAATAGTACTACCTTCATCCATTCAGTAGACAGTAACTGAACAAGAGAAGCTGCAGTGAGGAAGAGGAAAAAAAGGAAGAATGCTTAGGTGCGCTATCTTACTACCAATGAGGTAGAAGAGTCATTCATAATTCTTTAGTTTGTTGTTCATGTTGAAAGGTGAAAGTTAGTTTAAAAAAAAAGAAGTTTGAGAAATAAATCAAGGATTGGATTTACTTTATGTGACATGCCTATTAGATGCAGGTAGGGATATATATCGCTGTATGTATAGATCCAGAACTGCCCTGTGTATTTGGATTAGTGTGTAAGTGATAACTGAAACCACTTGCATTATATAGTGGGGGAAAAAAAAACTGTGGTGGGAGGGTCAAGGAGAGCATTTTGGAACATCATTTTTTAATTTTAATTTTTTGTAATATTACAAGAACTTTTTCTTTAAAAGCAAAGTTCCCGTTAGATATTGTGCAAGAGAGCCGTGCACTGCTTGAATGAACATACTCATGGACAACAGTTACCTTTATAGGGAACTGCTTTAGTTTTTATAGAATGAGGAAAGATGACCGTCCTATACTTCCATGTACAAACCTGAGCTTTCACGGACCCCAAAGTAAGAATGTGCTTACTTGTTGCTGATGGTGCAGGTGTACATTGAAACACCACCCTCATAGGCCTTGTTTCACCTTTGTATCTGAAGAAGAGGAACATTGTAGAATTGCCATGCACTTGCTAAACGCAATACAAATTTATTTCTAGCAACCAAATTAACAGAATTATACACAAAGCTTCATGAAGTTATGACTGATATTTTATCTCTGAATCAGTGAACTTGAACATTTTGGGTGTGTGACACACCCTTGCAAAGTAGGTTGCATGGGTGAAATTCTTAGGTTAGAGGGAAGAATAGGTTGGGTTAGTAGAGGCTGGGAGTGTTTTCAGAATTGACATGCTTTGGTATTTGTAAAAGTAAGGACTTGGAGTAAGGAGTTTTTGGAGCTCATGGGAGTGTGTGGGTGTCCAAAATGTGGGAAGCTTATTTCTTTATTATTGAATGCAAAAATTTAAGAGAGTAAAAGTTGAGTGGTATTTGTTTTCTATGTTGATTAATTATGCTGAAATAAAATATAATATGTTGAATGCCATTAACATTTGAGAGGTATATAAATAAACCTCTTAAATAATATTTAGAGGACTACTAGATTGTTAATGAGAGAGTTTTTCTTGCAGCCTTTGGCTTGCTAATACAGTTTGTAGTTAGATAACCATATGGTGGTAAATTTAATGCCATTTGGTTAATCATTGATTCTGTTCCATAAGAATATACTTTTCCATGTATCATCAATCTTCTCCTTTCTTTGTTGGCCTGGAACTGTATTTTAACAATTTGTGTTTTTCACAGAGCTATTATCACTATTATTGTTATTATTATTATTGTTCTCAAAATGACAGTATATATCTGTTGAATAAAGTCACTGGGAAGTTAGCATATTAAAAAGACCTGTCTTAAGAAAGTCACTTTTAAGGTTTAAGTCAGGGAGTTCAAGAGATTTTTTGCTTTTTCTAGCTACCTCTAGCAGATAATCAGGAAGGGTGCTTCTCAAATGTTTTTGATGACATCCACTGTAATAAATATTTTTGTCATTGCTCAAAAAATTTAATAAAACTTTGTTTACTGTTAGTAAAATAACCTTTAGTCTATCTACTGTTGAATATTAAAGTTATAACCTAATACTCTGATTTCATGATTCAGTCCAGTAAACATGGAATTATAGCAGCATCCTTTTAAAAAATTTATGTTTAATTTATATATTTACATTATATCCTGATCATAGCCCCCTCTCTCCTCTCCTCCTGGTCCCTCCTTCCCATCCTCTTCACTCTATCCCGCCTCTTGTCTTCAGAAAAGGGGAGCTCCCCCACCTATAACCCACCCCAGCACATCAAGTTGCATCAGGACTGAGCTCCCCTCTTCCACTAAGGCCAGGCAAGGCAGCCTGGTAGAGCAAAGTGATTGAAAACAGGCAACGGAGTCCATGTCATAGACAGCACCTACCCAACTCACTAGGTGACCCACATGAAAATAAAAATGTCCACTGGGTACATGTGGATAGGGAGCCTAGGTCCAGTCCATGCATGCTCTTTGGTTGGTGCTTCCTTCTTTGTAAGCTGCCATGGGTCTAATTTAGTTGACTCTGTTGGTCTTGCAGTGTTGTCCTGTCCAGGTCCTTCTAACCTTCCTTCCCTCTCTTCCACAGGACTCCCTGAGCGCCCCCTGGATGCTTGGCTGTCTCAGCATATGATTCGAGCAGCTATGACAGCATCCTTTTTTTTTTAAATATAATTTTTATTTATTACAATTTATTTATTTATTTTTAATTACACTTTATTTACTTTGTATCCCCCTCCAGTTCCCTCCCTCCTCCCCTCCCAACTCCCTCCCCTTTCTTCCCCTTCTCCATATATTATATGCCCTTCCCCAAGTCCACTGGTAGGGGAGGGTTTCCTTTTCTTCCTTCTGATCCTAGTCTGTTAGGGCTCATCAGGAGTGTCTGCATCGTCTTCCTCTGTGGCTTGGTAAGGCTGCTCCCTCCTCAGAGGGAGGTGATCAAAGAGCAGGCCAGTCAGTTCATGTCAGAGACAGTCCCTGTTCCCGTTACTATGGAACCCACTTGGACACTGAACTGCCATGGGCTACATCTGTGCAGAGGTTGTAGGCCATCTCTATGCATGGTACTTGGTTGGAGTATGAGTCTCAGGAAAGACCCCTGTACTCAAATTTTTTGGTTCTGTTGCTCTCCTTGTGGACCTCCTGTCCTCTCCAGATCTTACTGTTTCCCACTTCTTTCGTAAGATTCCCTGCATTCTGCCCAAAGTTTGGCCATAAGTCTCAACATCTACTTTGATAGTCTGCAGGGCAGAGCCTTTCAGAGGTCCTCTATGTCAGGCTCCTGACTTGTTCCCTCTTTTCTCCTTCTTCTGATTTCCATCCTCTTTGCCTTTCGGGATGGGGATTGAGCATTTTAGCCAGAGTCCTCCCTCTAGATTAGTTTCTTTAGGTGTACAGATTTTACTAGGTTTATCCTATGTTATATATATGAGTATATACCATGTGTGTCTTTCTGCTTCTGGGATAGCTCACTCAGGATGATCCTTTCCAGTTCCCACCATTTACCTGCAAATTTCACAAAAGTCTATATGCCACAAAATTTGAAAATCTAAATGAAATGGATAATTTTCTGGATCGATTCCAGTTACCAAAGCTGAATCAAGACCAGGTAAATCAATTAAACAGTCCTATATCCCCTATGGAAATAGAAGCTGTCATCAAAAGTCTCCATCCAAAAAAAGCCCAGGGCCAGATGGTTTCAGCGCAGAATTCTACCAGACCTTCAAAGAAGAGCTAACTCCAGTTCTCTTCAAACTATTCCACAAAATAGAAACAGAAGGAACATTACCAAACTCATTCGATGAAGCCACAGTCACCTTGGTACCTAAACCTCACAAAGACCCAACAAAGAAAGAGAATTTCAGGCCAATCTCCCTTATGAACATTGATGCAAAAATACTGAACAAAATACTTGCAAACTGAATACAAGAACACAGCAAAGATATCATCCATTATGACCAAGTAGGCTTCATCCTAGGTATGCAGGGGTGGTTCAATATATGGAAATCCATCAATGTGATCCACCATATTAACAAACTGAAAGAAAAAAAAAACCCACATGGTCATCTCCCTAGATGCTGAAAAAGCATTTGACAAAATGCGACATCCATTCATGTTTAAAGTCTTGGAGAGATCAGGGATACAAGGCACATACCTAAACATAGTAAAGACAATATACAGTAAGCCTATAGCCAACATCAAACTAAACGGAGAGAAACTTAAAGCAATCCCACTGAAATCAGGGACAAGGCAAGGCTGCCTACTCTCTCCATATCTCTTCAACATAGTTCTGGAAATCCTTGCTAGCGCAATAAGACAGCATCCTTTACAGCAGTATCGATGATAGCCTTAATCATATATTAATTCTGGAATTGTCAGGTCTTTATGTTAGGCTTTACATTAGCTTTGAGCTTTTATATGTTAGCCTTAGGCAGACATTATCTCTCTATCTGACTATCTGTCTATTATGTTAGCCCTCGGTTAGCATTTATTTACTTATTTATTGGCAGTGCTGGTCTGAAACTTACTCTGTGGCTGAGAATGACTTTAAACTTCATCCTCTGCCTCTGTTTCCCAGTTGCTGAGATTCTAGGTGTGTGCCATCTTAGTCTGATTTCAACACTTCTCTAATAGAGCTTTGTGTGAGACACAGAGTTTTGAGCTTTTCCTTTGGTGACAAGATTATTTCACCATCTTACCTTTTTATATTCTTAGAAAATAAATTCAAACAAATCTTACTTTACTAATGGGAATATATAACAGTGAGAAGGATTTTAATGGGAAATGTTCTCAAGTAATCTGGAATAGCTGGGTGTAGTGGCACATGCCTCCCTAGTACTCAGAAATCAGAGGCAAGTGGAGCTCTGTGAGTTCAAGGCCATCCCGATTTACATAATGAGTACTAGGACAGTCAAGCTTGCATAGTGAGACCCTGTCTCAAAAAAAAAAAAAAAAAAAAAGAAAAGAAAAGAAAAAAAAGATAGAAAGAATGAACTGATATCTCATACTAGAATTCATTTCTTTAGCTATTAATTGATGCGGCCTAAAAGATGTCTGTGTTTTCTTTATGTTTTTGTATACTTTAAGCAGAATAGATAGTGAAATACCTTTGCTTGATATCAGAATTGGGGCCTACCAATTTCAGTTTAAATTTAAGTTTATTTAATGATACGAATATGAATTTGACCATATTTCATAAATACAAAGTTATTCTTCAAAATTAAGTATTTTAAAATCTTTTTATGCCCTTTCTACAGGGTTTTATATGTCCCCAGTGTATGAAGTCTCTTGGCTCTGCTGATGAACTTTTCAAACACTACCAGGCAGTTCATGATGCTGGCAATGATTCGGGTCTTGGTGGAGAGGCCAATCTTGCTTTGACACGGTACAGTGTGCTAGTTTTAAACTGAGATATCGTCGTGGAATGTGCGTTTGATGTAATTGCTATGTTAACATTAATTCCTTTCTGAAAATTGTAATATTTCATATTACTTAATTTAAATCTCTGCTCATTTATCATGTTCTTCTTTCCTTGTCTAGCCTGTCTGTGTACCTTGTTGTCAGGGTGAGTCTTAGGTGAGAGTACCAGAATGGAGAAGGTTCTCCATATCACACCCAAGGAACAGAAACACACCAGTGTTACCACACCAACATGGTGAAGGGAGGTGACCAGGCGGGCTAGGCTATGCACATGTTAAGAGTCCTACTGACAGCTCGAGATTTTATGCTAACGGCATTAGAAAGTTAGTCATGCTTATTGTTGGTAAATAATAGAGGGTATTTTTTTCTGCTCCAGGCACATGACAATCAGTTATCTGATTATTTTCGTAAGAATTGTTTTTATTTGTAAACTATGTGCTTTAAGAGTAAAATTATTTTTCTAAGGGCTTTTATACACAAGACATCAGTGTCTTTAAAATAACTGAGAAAGCTATAACATTAATAGTTACTAATTATCACTTGCTAAGCTTGTAAATTAAAAGCCATCTCCTCTCTGCCCATGCATCTTTAGAGATGATGTAACACTACTCAGACAAGAGGTCCAAGATCTACAGGCCTCACTTAAGGTAAGAATAAACATGATAATGCTTGTTTATTTTCAGAGTTTCAGATTAAAATCTTTAAAAATTTACTAATTAAAATCTTTTTTGTCAGGAAGAAAAATGGTACTCAGAAGAATTAAAGAAAGAATTAGAAAAATACCAAGGGCTACAGCAGCAAGTAATTGCATTTTAAATTCTTGAAGCATGTTTATTAGTTGTTTATTTTCATTGTTGAAAATTCAGCATTACACTCTTTTGTGAACAGTTTGATATAAATAACTTCCTAATTTATTTTTGTTTAATAGCCTATTAGATAGTCTATATAATTCTAGTGATGGAAGCAGATACCATATCAGGTATGGTAGTACGTGTTTGTAATCCCAGCACTTGGAAGACTGAGGGCAGAAAATGTGAGTTTAAGGACAGCCTAGGATACCTAGCAAGACCCTATCTCAGTAAAGGATGGGGTAGAGGGTGCCTCAGTAATTACATGGTTCTTGCTGCATTTGCAGAGGACCCACGTAAGACAGCTCACAACTGTTTGTAACTTCAGTTCCAGGGAATCTCGTGCCTGCACACATGTGCTTGTGCATACACACAATTAAAAATCATCAATACATCCTTCCTTCCTCCCTCCCTCCCTCCCTCCCTCCCTCCCTCCCTTCCTTCCTTCCTTCCTTCCTTCCTTTTTCCTTCTTCCCTTCCTCCCTTTCTCCCTTCTTTCCTGTCTCTTCCTATGTATTTCTCTCTGTATACATTACTTTAAAAAAGAATCAGTTACCAGTTTTGTTATTCTAGTTTTCTGATTCTGATTCTATCTGTCTGTCTGTCTAATCTATCCCTATATGAATTACTTTAAAAAAGATTCAGTTACCAGTTTTGTTATTGTATTTTTCTGACAGTATACATAAATGGCTAAAAACATTGAGGCTCAACCCAAAATATAGGCCTTTACTTCCTCAATTCATCTTACTGGAAGTGCTTAAGGGCAGTGGAGTTGTCATTTCTGGTGATTACGATTTCTGGAAACTGTCCTTCAAGACCTGCCTGTTGGTTTTTTACTGTAAACTTCTTTTTATTTATTTATTAGATAGTATATTCTGAAATACCGATGTAATACTTATTATAATTATCAAATTTTAAGTACTACACATATTGTATATGACTGGAACATAGTCTGCTTGTTACCAGGATCATAAACAAGCATGGGCATTGCATGTCACAATCATCTTATTTTGTCACTTGGTCCTAGAAAAGTTTCAGCTTTATTATCTTCCATGTGTTCAGTTATTGACTGAAATGCTCTGTGGTATGTGACTCTTGGATTATGTATATATTTACTTGTGTAAAATACTGATACTGATAAAATGATTATCTGTGGGTTCTAGCTACTTTATCAAAAAGTAATTTTATGTAAAATTATATCAGCTATATCATAGAAAAAAAGAAATAATGAATTTTGGTAAGTCCAGAGAAGATAGTCTTGATTTTAAAAATACCTCTAACAGCTTTTATAATTAGCAATCTGCTTACACACTATCTTAGCACATTGTAACTTTCAGTTATATTTCTTCTTTTTTTCTTTTGCATTTCAATCTTTGTACTGAGAATTACTTTCTGGATTAAAAAAGGGAGAAAAAAGTCAGTGAATAAAAAGATACCAGTCTTAATACTATTTAAAGAGGGCTTAGTCTTAGTCAGTTTTTATAGTTCATTTGCTTATCTAACATGGAAACTGCTTACTGCATTTGAGATCGTGTGTGTGTGTGTGTGTGTGTGTGTGTGTGTGTGTGTTAAAACAAGGTCTCATTTAGTCCAATCTGGTTTCAAATTTGCCAATGTAGCTGAGGTTAACCTGAAATTCCTCATTCTTCTGCTTCCATCTTCAGAGTTCTGGGATTATAGGTGTGTGCTAGTGTGTCATATTTTATAAATAAATTCTCTCTAGTGTAAGTTGTAACTTTGTGGTAAATTTCTGTTAGAAGAAAATACATTTTATTATAGATGGTTGGGAGCCACCATGTAGTTGCTGGGAATTGAACTTTGGACCTCTGGAGAGGCAGCCAGTGCTCTTAACCCCTGAGCTATCACTCCAGCCCTTGGAAATACATTCTAAATATTGATTATTTCTAGCGGTCTAAGTCCAGTGTGTATTGAAATTTTAAAAATATGGTTTATTAGGAAATCCTTTACTATATGACCTGGGTTTAACTCTTTAACATATAAAAATAATGTGAAAGAGATACTAATTTTTGTTCCTACTGCCTGGATGACTTTAACCTTAAGAGATACAGTTGTCATCTTTCTTCTCCTTTTCCTCTTTCTTCCTCCTCCTTTTTTTTTTTTTGAGACAGCATCTCTCTGTATAGCCCTGACTGTCCTGACTCTCACATGCAGACCAAGCTAGCCTCAAACTCTCAGAGGTCTGCCTTCCTTTGCCTCTGCCTCTGCTAAGATTAAAGGCATGTACCACCACGCCTGGTTTTTTAAGCGATAAAGTATTTCTATGTTTTACATTTAGTGTGTGTGTATGTGTGTGTGAGAGAGAGAGAGAGAGAGAATGAATGAGAATACATACATATATGTGGGTGCCTTCTTGCATGTGGAGGTCAGTCAACAACTTGTGAGAGTAGGTTTCTTTTTACCCACTGAGCCATCTTGTCAGCCCTTTAGTTCTCTTTTAGAGATGATGACCCTTAATTTAAAAATTACCTTTAATTAATCAAACATTTTGCAGTGTTGGGAATGGAACTCAGTGGCTTGTGTGCTGGACAAGTTGCTCTAATACTGACCTATATAGGTGTCTAACCATGGCCCCACCCAGACACAGTTCCCTTTTTGGTGATGATAGTTGATGGCATATATGAGCTTATTTAATTTTCAAATATTGTAGGTGTTTTCATACTTATATGAAGGGTATAATCAAGGTAGTGATTTCTTAAATCACATATTTATTGCTACATATATTCCCCTTTAAGTTCAGTGCTGAGAATACTATGAACAAATCTCAGAGGGTGTACACTCAGTAAATGACTTATTTTAACCGCTTAGTGGATGCCAGTTATTAAAGTCCATTAATTTCTCAAGGTTGTAGAATCAGGCTCCCATGTTAAGCAGGTCTCATTAAAATATGAGGTTGCCTTCATGAGTGGTTTTTTGAGAGTGACACTTTCCAAAGACTGCTAGCTGGTAACAAGAATCCCTTATTGATAGAGAATGGTGCAGGTGTTGGTGGGCAAGACTTGAAAGTTCAAAGGCTAAAGGCGTGTGGCCCAGTCATAGCTTTAGCAATTGGTCTTGGAGAAATAGTCAGCTGAATGCTGCCTGCCATGACTAAATCTGTCACAGTGTTAGCCTTGTATATCTGCAGTCTAGCAATTGTTGCCAGTAGCTTATACGTGGAATGTGATAAGAGCCGATGTTGCATTCTGGAGGTGGAAGGAAGTCCTATTATTTATTACAGAAAATATGGAATCTTGGATGTCATGTATTGATTTTGCTAGCCATCTAATGACACCTTCCAGATCTGAAAGTATGAGATTCACCAGATTCTGATTTTTATCCAAATTCTGGTACTTAACTTGGTAGACATGGCAATTGTATAGTGTTTTCTTCTTTTACCACATTTATTTATGTGTTCTGTTCTAATTAAGGAGGCTAAACCTGATGGATTGATGACTGATTCATCAGCAGGTAATTAAAAACAGATTTAAAAAGTTTTTCTTTCTCATCCTTCTTAAAATTTAATGCCTGATAAAGTAATTTTATTTATGTTTATTTATTGTGTTTTATTTATTACAGTTAATCTTTGTAAAACAGTAAAAATATTATGTGTTAGGTTTAGATAGTTAGCTGTGACACAGTTTAGTCAGTTATCTAGTTCATTATATTCTGAAGTTATTAATAAACTTCTAAGATTACCACAATATGATTGCTTAAAGAAGTTCCGGTCTGTATTAGGGAGTTATATGTCTGTACCTTTTGAAGTACATGATGAGACTAGCATCTTTATAGATGCTTTTAAGTGAATGGGTGCTCAGTGAATAGTCCAGATTAGACTCTGAGCTTAGGTGCTGTATTTAAGGACTTTCTCTAAGAGTGAAGTGGCAGTAATAGGCATTGGTTGCACATTTTGATTAATGTGTTCTAAGATCATTGTTGTCCTTAGTTACTTCTAAGTTCACTTTATAACTTTTTCTGAAGAATATAATACATTTTAAAGTGGGTTTGATGGTATATGTCTGTAATCCTAGCACTCAGGAGGCCAAGGCAAATTCCAATCTATCCTCAGCTGTAAAGAAAGATCTTAATATTTAAGAAAGAAAAACCGGACTTCTAAACAAACATGTATAGATATTTGGAGGCTATTCTAATTATTTTTATTTATAAGTTATGTTTATAAATTGTGACTTGTACCCTAAATAAATCACATATGCTGAATATTTTGAAATGTGAATATATTCTCCTTATATAGAATGGATTTACATTGATTGTACTTACTACTACGTGAGTGTGATATAAATAATAAAAATTTAGTGTATGTAACTGACATTATATTAGACACATTGCTGTGTTCTCTTCTAGAGTTACAGTCTTTAGAGCAACAATTAGAAGAAGCCCAGACAGAAAATTTTAATATTAAGCAGATGAAAGATCTGTTTGAACAGAAAGCAGCCCAACTTGCTACTGAAATTGCAGGTATATTGAATATGAACTTTTTTAGTCAGTAAATAATTCTTACAACCTTTTCATCATTGTAAGCCATAGATAACTATCTAATATTTGAAGTGTGATAAAACATTTGTTGTAGACTATGGAAGTAATTAATGGAGTTTAATAATAAGAGTCACTGTGTAAATTATTTTGTTTTTCCTTAAGTGTTTTCTCCTTAGTAGATTCTTTTTGAAATTTAAAGGTAAATTTTTTTGATATGCTCAATGATTAAAAAGTAGCATTTTAAATAAATTTAAATAATTTAAATAAATAAATTATATAGTATATTAGAGACTTAATACTTGGTTATGCTCTCCATTTTTTCATAGCATATATTTTAAAAATTATGTGCTTTTGGTAAAATATTCTATGTATGTACAATAAAATGCTAAGTAGCATACTTTTCGATGGAATTTAACATAATTTTATTGGTTATATTTATGGGTAGTTGAGGAATGTGAATTGGACTTAAGTGTGTATAAGCTTGCAGATTAATATATGGGGATTTATGAAACGTAACTTCAGGATTAATATTATAAAACTAATGCTTGTATTGCTATCTTTAATTAGATATAAAGTCAAAATATGATGAGGAAAAGAGTCTCCGAGAAGCTGCTGAACAAAAAGTGACATATTTGACAGAAGAATTAAACAAGCAGACAACTGTAATTCAAGATCTGAAAACTGAACTGGTAATTTAGGAACATTTATCATGATGTTAATTTATAGCTTCCTAATTAAAATAAAATATATGTAGCAGCCATATAGTTAAGTGTTAGAGTGCTTGCCTAGAATGTATGAAGTTTTAAGTTGAATATCCAGCTGAAGAAATAAATATTTAAAAATATTTAATGAACTGGAGGCAACAAAAATTTTTTTTATATCTCTTCACCTACATATATACTCTTTGACTTTTAAAAATAAAAAAGATTATATAGATTGTATCATCAACTCCTGTTTAACATTATTGTTTCTATCTAAACGTAATTTTTTGTTTTATATGTTTAAGTATTTCCTATATCCGCCTCTCTGGTGCTGTCATTTCCTCACACTATTTGTTCTTTTGAGGCAGGACCTCACTATGTAGCCTTGGCTGGCCTGGAACTTGCTATGTCGACAAGACTGCTCTCTGACTCAGAGACTGAGGGCATACGCCACCATGCCAGACATTTCCTCACACTTCAGTTTATAAAGCCATCTAGTGTTAGGATTATTTCCAACTGGGATAAAAGTTTATTTCACATTCTACAAGTATAAAATTCTAGTCATACTCCATGACTGAATCTGTCATTGGGTACTATGGTTCAGTGTTCTCTTTAGGCATTACAACCTTAGACCTATCTTGGACATCTTTATGTAGCCCTCAATAAATCCATGAATGAATTATTGAACTGCAAACAACCTATTGAAAACCCTAAACAAGCTTACATTTTTCTTCTTAATTTAAATTTTGTTGTTGTAGCATTGCAAGGGATTGACCCCACGGCTCCATGCTAGGCAAAGCTCCACTCAGAGCTGTTCTTCCTAGGATAGGGGTCGTTGTCGTCATTAATATGCACAGTTCTTCAAGGGAAGCAAAGCAGATGACGTGCTCAGGGTAAATGTGACTGTGCTAGAGTGCAGCTTGATGATACTGTTAAGTAGAATGTAAAGAGGGGGTTGGCTTTATTGGGGGAGAATATCAGTGTTCCATATTGGGAGTCTAAAAATTGGTAATAATGATTGTTTTTATTTGATCTCTCTTAGTGACTTACTCTAAAATGTATATTATTTTAGATTTTTGAAGTGTAATATTTAATTAAAATGTGTGGTTTTATAGCTTCAGAGACCTGGTATAGAAGATGTTGCTGTACTAAAGAAAGAACTGGTCCAAGTTCAAACACTAATGGATAATATGACTTTGGAACGTGAGAGAGAATCTGAAAAACTCAAAGATGAATGCAAAAAGTTACAATCAGAGTATGCTAATTCAGAGGTAATGGAGACACCTGGGAATGTTTACAGGATAGATTACTATTTTTCTAATAAATGATCCATGTAGTTAGAGAATTAAGGCTAGTCTGTGTTGATTGACTTTAACTTACTTTGGCAGGAGTAAATAAAGTATGATTTTATTTCCTACAGTTCCATTAACAAAGTTGAAATATTCAAAACCAATTTCTTCTTTCTTTTTTGTTCTTTTATTTATTTATTTTTTATGACATGCAATCTCACTGTATTGCCCAGGCTCTTTTTATGCTTCTAGACACAAGTCAACCTCAGTCTCCTGAGTAGCTGAGATGACAGAAGTGTGTCACAGAACCTGGCAGCAGATTACTTTTTAATAGGCTTATTTCTAGTGTATAGACATTGAGTTATATAGATGAAAATAGTCTTTGTAGTGTTTTGATTGGACTGTGGAGAGATGGCTCAGCAGTTAAAGCACTTACTGCTTTTGCAGAGGACCAGGATTTGGTTCCCAGAACCCACATGGCAATTCACAGCCATTTTTAACTTCACTTCTAGGGATCTGATGCTCTCTTCCTAGCCTCTGAGGGCATCTGGCACACATGTGGTACACAGACATAGTAGGCAAAACACTTATACATGAAAAATAAGAGTATATAAATCTTTAAAAATGCTCCCATCTACCACCATAATGATCTACTTAACCATAGGTGGTCACACACATCTAGAATTCCAGTGTCTGGAGGCTGAGAGAGGAGGAGTATGAGTTTGAGACCAGTCTTGACTACATGGTGAGAGACCTGTTTGAAGAAATAAAAACCAGAAACAAAAAGAAAAAAAATTTGTTGTAGTGACATTTCATTATGTTTCAATTTTTTAGCTGGTGATCAAAATACCACTCTGTTAATAAATACTAATATGCCACTAAATTGTGGGGTAAAATTATTGCAGATACCCTATGTCTGATTCATCCTATTTTCCCCTTATCTCTATTTCATTAGTGGGGGACTTACAAAGTATTTTGTTTTAATATGCATGACACTATGAGGCTCTTTGATGCTTGACACTAACTTATGATGTTTTCATGCAGATTTCCCCCAAATGGCACTTCATAACCCTAATGACATACTTTCACAAATGTCTCAATAATTAAAGGGGGTTCATAAAAGGCTAAAAACCTTCTATACCTCCTGTTTCTGGGGATCTGACATTGTCTTCTTAAATTCTATGGGCATCGAACATATATGATGCCTAGACATCCATGCAGGCAAAACTCCCATATACATAAAATTAAAATAAGTAACTATTAAAAAAATAAGATGCTGAATCAAAGTCTGATGAGGAAAAGTGTGTTTTAGACAACTTTGACTTGAGTGTATCCAGTTATTTATTTCTGTACTTAGTAAAGACTGCTATTGATTAGATCTCACTGCTGACATATAACTTGTCAAACTAAAAAAGTACTCTCTTGCTTTAAAAATGCCATTGGATGTTATTTGACATTTGAACATTTTAATGAAATTAATGATGGTTTTAGAACATACATACTTTAAAGTATAATACCCTCTGACTTTTCCAGTTGAACATTATGGAGTCATACTTGTTAATTAAGAAATTAGCAAAAAGCTGGGCAGTGGTGGTGCACACATTTAATCCCAGCACTCAGGAGGCAGAGGCAGGTAGATCTCTGAGTTCAAGGCCAGCCTGGTCTACAGAGAGACAGCAGGACTACACACAGAAACCCTGTGTCAAAAAATAAAAGCAAACCAAAATAAAACAAAACAATAATAACAAAACCTTTATTTTATTTATATTTGAAAAATACATGTGGAAACATACAGTTTGATAATAGAAAATATTTCTGAATAATACTTAGGAATTACTGTGAACTGAATTTAAAGGGTTTTTATAAATTTGTACTTTTATTAATTTAGATTAAAATAATCTGTAACGGAGGAGGAGAGACTCAAAGTGAAAATGTTATAACTTAAGGTAAAAGATTCAGAGTAAAGGAATTCAGTGTTTCACACTTTTGTCCTTAAGTAAATAGGGATAACTGTAGGAAGCAATGATTTCGTTTTTTAGAAAAGATCTGCCTGGGATGAAAGGAAAGTCGGTCTGAGGACATGTGTGCTGGCATATGCCTTTAACCCTAGAACTCAGGGTTAGGCAGAGCTCTAATTTCCAGGCTAGCCTGGTCTACATAGAGTTCCCGATCAGGTAAGGGCTTCAATGTGAGACTCCATCTCAATAAAAATAAAAAATTAAAATAATGAGGAGGAAGGGGAAGAAAATGACTTATAATTCAGTTCATTGTACTCAAATTTGCTCAAGTTTCCACAAAAAATTACTTCTACAGGGATTTTGAAATAAATTTAGAAGAACATTTATTCCTATTTATTAATAAGTAAGTTATTTTCTACTTAAACTATAGTCTTAGAGAGTCAAGGATAATATTAATCTCTGCGTGGTTAGTAGATATGCAGCAATGGATAGGACTCCCAGATATGTTAAATAGTTATAAATTTTTAAAAAGTAGCTTAAGGCCCACAGGTGGTTACTTTAGTCCCATAACTATGGAGGCAAAGGTAGGTAGATTTCTGAGTTTGAGGCCAGCCTGGCATACAGGGCAACTTCCAGGACAGCCAGGGCTACACAGAGAAACCCTGTCTTAAAAAAACAAAACAAAATGAAAAAAACAACAAACAAAACAACCCCCTCCCCACCCTCCATAAAAGAAGTTGCAAAAGAGTCAGACTAATAATGTCATTAGACATGGATTTTCTTGGACACCGTTAGATTGCAGATGTTCCACCATGTCATTTAGCATACTGTGTTAGCTTTAAAGATGTCTCATTTGATCCTGTAAAGTTATTAGATCTGTTGTAAACATTAGGAATCCGAGGTCACACATCTAAAATAAAGAACCTAGGTCTTACTCAGGCCCAGCATTTCTCCCTTAACATCCTGTAAGTGCTCTCATAATTGCCTCATGAGTGACTTTGTGCGGCTAATGTAGTTGTTTGCTTGGTTTTTGTTCTGAAACAGGATCTCCCTGGAGGCCAGGCTAACTTCTAACTTACTATGTAGCACTGGCTGCCCTCAGTCTGTCAGGTGCCGCTCTCACTCTCCCTGCCTCAGCCTCCTAAAATGGAAGTAAGAGAGGGAGACACCATGCCAAGCTTTCTGTGCTACCAATCTTGTCCTGATGTTTATTATTACTTTAGTGTTTACCAGAATTGTATGTTGTTGTGTATTGAATAATAGCTGAAAGTATTTTTAGTTGTATCTAATACTGTTCCCATATTAAAAAAATTGTATAATTGTTTCATCTCCTGTATTTGTATCTTCATTTGCCTTTTGGTTCCTACTTAGTACAAATATGTTTTGTTAAAATTCAGTTCTATTTATTTATAGCTAAGTATATCAGTGAATTATGGCATTTAAAAATTTACTAGAAACAAATTATTCTTGATGTGGTTAACTTTATTTAATCAGAATCAAAACACATTAAAGGCCATTAAGGAAGCTAGAAGTACAAGTATATTTATCAAATGTTCTATAGTTGGGGTTGATTATATGTAATCTGGACTACATTATTAAATATACTTTTGGTTTATTCATAAAAACTTATATACCTTGGAGTTCATATATTTGTCTGTATACTTATAAAATTATTTTTATTCTAAAGCATTTGAAATGCTTAGTAAGTAGTTGGAGATTTTATAGAACGAAGGTTTAAACATTTAAAATTATTTCTAAAACCTTCATGAAGGTAAATATCAGAGAACACTACAGTGAACTTAGATATGGTATGATATTTACTGGAGATGATTTTAAAAAATCTTATTTGCATCTTAAGTTTAAGAAAAAAACGTTTGCAAGTATGGAATGAGAATGATTATAGTCATGCATAGTATTTAAGAGTACATGTCAGTATTGAATGTGCTACTTTTAGAGCTCATATTTGTAAGTGTGCTTGAACATTTTTTATTGTGTTCTCAGTGTGCACCTTGTCAGTACTGTGTCTCACCTTTCATCCATCATTTTATTATTTTTTTTCTGCTTTCTAATGGAGATGCTTAAATTTGAGGTAATGTGCTTTGGGAGACTTGTTAGTTTTGGTGATATCCTTTTCTACCACCTATTGTCATGTGCTGTTTTGTGTTTTAAGACAGTCTTAGAACTTCACAGACATGCTCATTTTTGTTTTGTTAATCAAACAAGTTTTCATCCATTATAAATAATTATTTCTTAATAGTAGTAGAATATTCAAACAATATGTCTAGTCAAAATACTGTTTCTTAGTTTTTTTGTAACTTAAAGGTCCTACTAAAAACTAAATGCTAAGTTCAATGACATAGCACTAAGGAAAATTTTTGTTAAGGCCTCATACTGTTCTAATGGGAGTACATAGCTCTTAAATCTTTGAGGGGATTTACAGTATATATTCATTAGAGAGTATATTTTGAATAAATACTAAACAGCAGAAACAATTCTAGGTGTTATGAATATATCACTATGTCCATGCCTGCTCATGTAAGACTCATCTTTCTTTGTGAGAATTGAATACTGTGTAACAAAGCCAATCTTGATTTCTGTTAGTTAGCCCTTTATTGATGTGAAAGTTGCCTGAGAGAAATAATTTCAAAGGTGGAAAGATTCATGTTGGCTTATGGCCTCAGTCCAGGTTTGGCTAGCTGGATTCTTTGCTTCAGAATATCATGGCAGCTAGGGACTTGGCAAAGGCTGCTTGCTTCTGGAGCCAGGAAGCACAGAGCCTGTGTACTGGGTCAAGATGCTCTTGATGACTACTTCTTCCAACTATGCCTCACCTCTGAACATTTGCATCACCTCCTATTAACAGGATCAGTTTATGCATTAATCAGTGGGTTAATCATTTGATTAAGTCAGAGTTCTCATGGTCCAATCCATGACCTTTTGATAAATGATTAGATCTAATGGAACACATGAGCCTTTTGAGATGTTTTTTTATAACTAAAACATACCATGGTAGGAAGTGAAGTGATAATAAGTTCTGTAAAGAAGAAAGAGGAGGGAGGAGGAAGAGGAAGGAAAGAAGGCAGAAGGAAGAAAAAAAAGGCAGGGTGTGTGCTGTGGTAGAGGCAGGAATAATGTGGGACAATTTTAGTTAGCATGTGTGAGGAAGATCTTGAGGATCTGACCAAGGAGAATATAGTAAGTGAGAAAAAGCATGAAGGTCTGTAAAGAGGAATCCTGGAAAGTGATTATAGCAAGTGCTGAACTACAAGCCATAGATGAGTTTGTGCTGGTCATGGCAAGGAAAGTCACTACAGAAAGAGAAAGACTAGGGGTGTCAGCGTGGTGCTATCTGAAGAGAAAGTATATTTTATGTCCTTTAATTTTTTCCTTAAAATTATTTTATTATTTATTATTATTATTTTCCTTGATTATCATTTTAAAAGATAGAAGTGATTGGTTGATAATGTGCAATACAGAAAGGGCAGATCTCATCTAATCCTCTTTCCCTCAGTTTCCTTACAACTAATGTCTACCACTGGTGCACCCTCTTCCCCCGCCTCTTTTCCTAGTGATCAAACTTAAAATGTTAAGTGCCCACATTCATCTAAACCAAATTGTTTTCTTAGTTTATTGTTACTAAAATGAAATAAAGCCAAGTGCTTGATCATCCAATTCAGTCCTTAATATGTTTAACTGGTTTCTGAAATTTGAAACCATTGTTTTCCTAAATGGATAAAGCTACAGTACCACTGAAAATACTTCAAAAATAAGTTCTGAGTACTCCAAGTTCATAAGAGAGCAGTGAAAATGTCTGAGCAGTGCTATTGTCACAGCAAAACAGATCCCTCCAAGATTTCTTGTTTATGATGCAAAGACTAATTTGTAATGCGCGCGCGCGCACACACACACACACACACACACACACACACACACACACTCTGTTGGTATTCTAAGAGTAGAGTTTTAAATTTATGATTATCCATCTTGTAAAATTTATTCATTATAAGGAATATATGTACTGGAAATTACTAACTCTATATTAAAAAGTAGAGCCAGCAAGAAATATTAATAATACAAATTTCATTTGTTAGTATCATTTGCAGTAGCTTTCTAATGTTTGAGCTTTCATGTATCAGAGGTGTGGCTTTTCAAGATATTTGCCCATCTGTTTTTCCTTTTTGTTTTATGCAATCAAATTATCTTAACAATAAACTTTTTTTGTTTTTAAAAATGTTTAAATTCACTAAGACAAGTTTCAGTTCAACTGTTAACACTTGACCCCAGAGTGGCTTGGGTTAATAAAACTACGTAGGACTTAAATTGGTAAATTTTTTGGATAAATATACTTGTATTATAATCAGAAAAATGATTCAGCCAGGTCAAGTCATATTGTATGTTTAATCTGCATGTGTTAACATGAAAGGAAAGGCTTTTGCTATGGAAGCTTGGAGAATCTCTAGACATAACTTGGTTTTCCTTTTTAAATTCAGGAGGCTCTAAATACAGTTTTAAAACCATGAAATAAAAGTTGTAGTTTGATTTTACCTCAGATAGATGACAATGTCAGCATTTCAGTTGATATACTATTAAATATATGAATTATGCATCTCAGATGTATTTTAAAAATTAATTTTAAACAAAAAATTAGGTGTATTATGGTATTAGAATAAAGATCAAGTTGAGAAGTTTCAAGTATTCAATTTAACTGCACCAGTAGCAGAAAATGTCATATCTTCAAATCTTTGTGTACCTCCATTTCATTTGCTTTTATTTTATTTTATTTTTCAGGCTACAATAAGCCAACTGAGGAGTGAACTTGCCAAAGGACCCCAGGAAATTGCAGTGTATGTGCAGGAAATACAAGACCTTAAAGGTTCAATTAACGAATTAACACACAAAAACCAGGTACGAATTTTAAAGCTACTCATAGTGGTAAATAGATTTTAATTTAATCATTAAATTTAATCTATAAGATTAATCAAATTAATTTAATTTTATTCATACAATAGGACAAGGGGACTCTCTGTGTGTGTATGTGTTTAATGTTATATATATTCACATGGTTGCATAAACCAGTTTCCAAAAACTCTTTATATTGCAAAACTGCTTCTATACCAAAAAAACAATGCTCCCCATTGTCCCTTCCCTTAACTTCAGGCAACCACTATTTTCTCTTATATTTATATGTCGTTTATACACCTAAGTCGCTTATATAAGTGTAGTCAAAGTCTTTGTGGTTTTGTAACTGACATGTTTAGGATATTATCCTGAAAGATTCATCCTTGTACATTATAGCTGAAATTTCTCTTTACAGATGAATGATACTGCATTTTAAGTTTGTGACATTATACACCCATCTGTCAGTAAATACTTGGGTTGCTTTCTTCTTTCTGGTTATTATAAATAATACTGCTCAAAACTTGAGTATATCGATATCTTTGTGACCCTGTTTTTTTTTTTTTTTTTTAGGATTTCATTTTTAGATTATTTTGTTTTATTTTTTATAATTTTTTTATTTTTTTACTATTAATTACACTTTTTTCATTTTGCATTCCCCATAAGCCCCTCCCTCCTCCCCTCCCAATCTCACCCTCCCTCCCCCTTCCTCATGCATGCCCCTCTGGTCCTCTTCTCCTTCCTTCTGATCTTAGTCTATCAGATCACCTCAGGAGTGGCTGCATTGTCTTCTTCTGTGGCCTGGTAAGGCTGCTCCCCCCTCAGGGGGAGGTGATCAAAGAGCAGGCCAATCAGATTATGTCAGAGGCAGTCCCTGTTCCCATTACTAGGTAACCCACTTGGACATTGACCTGCCATGGGCTACATCTGTGAAGGGGTGCTAGGTTATCTCCATGAATAGTCCTTGGTTGGAGTATGAGTCTCTGGGAAGTTCCCTGTGTTCAAGTTTTCTGGTTCTGTTCTCCTTGTGTGGTTCCCGTCCTCTCCAGCTCTTACTATTTCCCACTTCTTACATAAGATTCCATGCACTCTGCCCAACAGTTGGCCATAAGTGACCCTGTTTTTTAATTCTTTTGTTTATATATCCAAGAGTCAAGTTACTGGATCATATGGTAATTCTATTATATGTTTATACTTACATATATACATTTATAAGATTTATTATTTAAAAACCTTAGAAATGAATATAAACATGACACACCAAAATCAACCAGCTCAGTGAACTACTATACAATCAGAATAGGTATTCAGAATGGAAGCTGTGGAGCTTCACATTAAATTTTACACATTCAGTATCAATTATATCTTACGTGCTTATGCACCACCAAAAAAAAAAAAAAAAAAAAAAAAATCCATGCAGAATTAGAACTAGAGAAACAATTAGCTTTATATCCTCTTTCATAACTTGTGTTCTCTTTCATACGTTGAATCTAGCCAGTGATGTTTATTTATGTGCACATGTGCTCATGTTTATGAGGTACAGTGTAAGATGAAGAAAGCTAGAAAGGTTAAATGTATGAGGATCAGAGACTTAGTGCAGCTACAGGTACATTTGTAATGACAGGGATCCAATCCAGGTCCTCATGAATGCAGTGCCAAGAAGTATTTTGACCACAGAGCTGTGTTCTAGCCTTATTGTGTTTTTTTTAATAACTACTTACTGATTTCAGTTGACATTACATACATCTTTTTATGTTCCCCTCTACAGATTACACAGTTTCACCACAGCCTCACCAACACTTGTCTAGATTTTGCACTTTTAGTTTCCTTGCCTGTGCTTTAGGTAACAAATGAAGAAATTATTGTTAATTCAATGTCATATATTTTTTTTCTCTATTTTCTTTAAGAGTTTTGTCATCTTAGGCGTTAGGTTTATGTTAGATTCACTTTGGGTTAATTTTTTTATATGCCTAAGACAAAAACCCAGTTTCATTCTGCTGCATGTGGGCTTTTACTTTTCCTGATATCATTTGTTGAAGACTGTCCTTCCCTTGTTGTATGGTCATGGAACTCTTTTTAAAAATTATTTGACTATTGCTTTAGTCTGTTTCAGCCCCTGTAACAAAACACCATAAACAGAGCAGCTTACAAATAGCAGAAAATTGTTTCTTGTTGTTATTTAGACTAGGACATCCAAATTTAGGTAGAATTTCTTTCTTGTTATAGTGTGTTGTCGGGTCTATAGATGGTGCCTTCTTGATCCTTGCATGAGAAGGAATGAGGGATCTGAGGGATCTCTCTGAGGCATTTTACTTTTTCTTTTTAATAAGAACACTAATCTCGTTTATGAGGCTTTGGTCTAAACTCTAGTAGCTTCTCAACGGTGAAATCTCCTAATACTTTTGCCTTGGGGGTGTAGGATTTGCAGTTACGATTTTGGAGTCATGGGTGATACAAAGCTTGTGACCATAGCAACCACATATATGAATGTTTATTTCTAGGTAATCTGTTCCACTCATCTTTGTTTCTCTTTATGCCAGTACCACAGTGTAATTATTAGTTTTGTAGTAAGTTTTGACATTGGAAAGTGTGAAACTTCAGGTTTTTTTCTTTTAGGATTTTTATTGTGTGTTTATTTTATTTTATTTTATTTTATTTTATTTTATTTTATTTTTTGAGACAGGGTCTTGTTATGTGGCTGATACTGTCCCAGGATATGCTACATAGCCCAGATTTGCTCAAACTCATAAACTTCTGCCTTAGCCTCTCAAGTGCTATTATAGACATGTACCACTGCACCAAGCATCTGTGTGTGCACACATGTGTATTTCACTGCCAGTGGTCTCTGCCTTATTCTTTGTAAATGAGCTATAGTAATATTCAATTTCTGACTAAGAAAGCATTGGTATTAATGCTGTGGGGTCGCACATGTGTGTATGGGTATGTAAGCCTTTGAGGTATGGACTGAGGCCAGAGGGTGACATGTCTTCCTCACTGTTGTCCACCTTTTATTTATTGTGTATTTGGGTGTTTATTACTGGTAGTTCTCTTTAAGTATGCATTTTTATTTTTAAAAGTTGTATATATTTATACACTGAATATGAATGATATCCATCCACACTACCTACTTTCCTGTCCCTCTAGTGCTTGCCACCTTTTCTCCGTCCAAGCTTATATTCCCATAAAAAATGTTATTAATGATTTCCTGAGTCTAATTAGTGCTGCTCATATGTACAGGGGCGTGTGGCTGTCTGCTGGGACAAGGGTAGTCTACCAGCAGCCAGGAACCCAAAGGGAGAGTGGCTCTCAGCAGCTGTTAACTGCAGTAACTCCTCCTCTGATAGGGGTGTGCCACTGGGGGGAGGGTATCAGTCTGTGCTGGAATGTTGACTGACCTGGTCTTGTGCAGGCTGTGTGCTGGTACCCGAAGCTGCTGTGAGCTGATGCCTACATTAAGCTAGGTTGCATCTAGAAGTCAGCCTTTCACAGCTCTACTTCCCATCTGCTAGCCCCTACGTTCTTCTGCTCTTCTTTTAAGGTTCCCTAATCCTTAGACGGTAGGTAGGAAGTGAAAAGAAACTTCTCTGACTAAAGTTGAAAGAAGCATAAAACTATGGGTATAAACATAAATAGAATGTTGTTTGATAACATGATTGTTCATTGAAACAATAATATGTACATAAGTGCCTAGCCTTTCTGATAGATGTTTTTTTTCTTATAGTAATACTTGGTAAATAATAGCTTCTCAGGAGTTGGTCACTATGTAGAATCTTAAACTACATCAGTGAACTTTCTGTATATGTAACATTAAAATCCACTAGGCTTTCTTTCCTTCTCATGTATGTGATTACATTGCATCATTCATTTATCATGTTGAAAATACTGGCTCACCACGTGAGTTTGATTTTTCAAGTATTGACATATTTCATTGTACAGTATCCATTCACCAACTTTACTTTTAATATTAGAATAGATTTGAAGTGTGAGGAAACTGTAAAGCTCACATAATGTATCTAGTTAAAAATAAATGAATAAACTGAAGATTCATTTGTCTGTCTTTTATTTATCTGCCTTCCCTTATTGTCCTTGCTATCCAGTCCTCACTCAAACCATAATTACTGGCAATGATTCAATTCAGTTCAGTTTAATTCAATTAAAATATTTTAAATTTGTAAATCTCTGCATATAATCTTTTTTGGTGGTCCTAGAGATTAAAGCCTAGGGCCTTGTGCATCCTATTCAACTTTGCTGCACTGAATTATATCCCAGTACTTTCTGTTTTTAATTTCTTTCTTTGAAATAGGGTTGCTAAGGTGCTCATGCTGGCCATGAAATTTATATCCCCCTGCCTCAGCCTTCTGAGTATCCAGGATTGCAGGCCTATGCCACACATCCTGACTTGTACATTATCTTTTGATGGATGCTATGTAAAATAATTTATTTTATTTTTTTATGGGCCATTGGCCCCATAAAATAGATAAAATGTATAAATAAATAGAAAATATTAATTTGTGTTGTTAAAGTATTCAGTTTTAATCCAGTGTATATAAAGTATTGCTCTTAAAAATCAAAGTGATAAATGGAAGAAACTGTTTTATTTTTTAATAAAAATTGTATTAAACAAAATTCTAAACCTCAGATTAATTATTTTTCATATAAATTCTAAATTTCATATACATTTTTCATATAAATTTGAATTTTCATATAAATTAAAAAAATCATTGTTTATCCAAGATTACTTATATAGCGGGTGGTTGTAAAAGACTGAGATATTTTGGAGAGTCTCACCTGTCATCTCTTTTTATCTGTACTGCTTTCCCTTTTAGTAGTCTTGGCTTTTAAGATATACATAAGTCAAAGCAAGGACCAATAAGGCAAATACTTAAAATACTGCTATGTATTCTATTGTGTGATACTTTTGGTCCATGTGTCTGCAGATTTCAGAGCCACAAATTCAAGCAGCTGTGGATTGGATTTTTAATCTTTAATGTGTATGTATGTATGTATGT